CTGCAATACTTCTTTCTCTCTTTCTCTCTCTCTCTATATATATATATATATATATATATATATATATATATATATATCCACTATCCACTCAGTGCCTTGATGAAAATATAAATCTTCGGTAGATGGCGCTGTTTTTGCTTTCAACAGCTGCTGATGCTTTGAATGTTGTTAACACTTGAGCTGATTTGTTATGAAGTATGTTTTCATTTAGTTCTCTCTCTCACACCAGCACACACACACACACAGACACACACACGCGCGTGCGCACACACACACACACACACACACACACACACACACACACACACATACACATACACACATAACGCAAGCATGCACACAAACCCCCTAAAACCCCCTAAAATTTAAAAAAAGATTGTCCTGTTCCTATTTGAAAATCAGTTTATTTGTGACATGAAAAATTAACTTTACACCACTTTTTCGCACTTATTAACTTCATTCATTCAGATGTAATAATAATAATAATAATAATAATAAATATGCCCAAAGATATAACAAAGTGGGGACATACGGGCACAAGAAGAATGCAAGAAGCACAAAATCGAAACCACTGAGAGATGGTATTAGAATCAACCAGACACAGTTGTCCAAAATAACGATGTAACTATCCTCTGGGACATGCCAATTCAAACTGACAGAAAAATAAAAGTCAACAGACCTAATATTACCGTAGAAGACACTTTGTTATATCTTTGGGCATATTTATTATTATATCAAGGCACTGAGGTAGTGGATAGAGATTATATATTCAGGAAGTGTATGCTTATTGATAAATAGTATCATCTAATAGAAACACCTCCATGAAAATTATCGACAAATTGTCCAAATACAAGGACCTGGACAAGATCGAGATTAAAAGTAAATAAGACCGAGAAAAGGAATGGACAATTTTACGAACAGTGTCCCAGGTAACATCAACATGCAAGTTGCCCAGAAGATCGCCCTTCTAAGAACATCTCATATACTAAGAAATATGCTATCAATTAAATGGCAATTCTTCTATAGGGCCTAAGGACCATAGTTTGGACCCGGCTCTATAGGATACAAAGCAGGAAACATAACATACACAAATATTAATAATAATAATAATTCGGTAACTAATCTTTGGCTCTATCTTCTGTCATTAATCCGTAAAACCCTTGCACAAACTTTATCAATACTAATTAATACCACAATGAAATCCCGGAATGGATCATTGAAGGTATTACATATCTCCTGAAAGAGATGACCCGAAAAATTATATGCCAATCACATGTCTGTCCACCACATATAAATTGATCATGTATGTGCTGACGAACTGTACTCTTTTCCTGAAGAAAACAATATTCTTCTCCTGGAACAGAAGGGATGCAGGATGGTTCATATAGTTGCAAAGATCAAATATTGATAAAAAAAATGATCCTGGATAGATTACTGCAAGGGCATATGATGGTGTGCCATACTTTTAGATCCTTAAGACTTTGGAATTATATAATAAATTTCCTTAAATCCAGCATAGGAATGTGGAAAACCACATTATACCTAAATAACACCAAAGACATTGCCACTTCTAACCGCCTAAATATCTCACGAAGAATCTTTCAAGGCGACTCATTGTTACCCCTTCTGTTTTGTTTGTCCTTAATATCCCTTAAAGCATAATAACTATTGATATAAAGTAAACAAGAAATGATTTTAATCATCTACTCTACATGGATAATCTCAGACTCTTTGCCAAAGAAGACAATTAGTTTAATGGTCTTCTCATTACTGTAAAATGTTCCAGTGGTGAAATAGGTATGGATTTCGGAATAGATAAATGTTTAAAAGTAACATTTAAGAAAGGGAGAATTACAGAAACACACTCAATAGATCTAGATTTTGTCACAAAGATTAGGGAACTGGAAGAAGACGAAGCCTATGGGTACCTAGGAATTATCAAAAGAGTTGAAATACAGCATACCTAATTGAAGGACAAAGTAACAAAAGAATACTAGAAACATGTGCGTCTGCTACTGAATAAATAGTTGAATTCAAAAAACAGTCCGTTCTGGGCATGACGATAAACTTTATCCGCGTCCTGGGTAAGACGATAAACTACGTTCAACAGCAAGGTCTCTTATCAGGAGGTTTTGAGGAACGTGGAACCACCTTTTAATTGCTGGTGTTCTCAGGTTCACCCTTACCTGGGGTGGTAGCACCTGTTAGGATCCCAGCTATGGGCAAACAGTTAATCCCGAAACTGTGGTAAAACACTATGAAAGTGTAAAAATAGATTTTAATAACAGAAATACTTCGTAAAAATATTATTACCAGCAATAAATATTTGTAGAAAAAAAAAACTATTACGAAGGAAAAATATTACCAGAAACAGATTTTTGACAAAAACAAAATATTACCAGCAAAATAAATTTTGTTGGCATTAAATAACCCCTTGATGTTGATATGCCGTAAAACAAACCAAACCAAACCAAAATCAAAAAACAGTATATCAGCAAAAACTTTTGCTGTTCCCGTGGTGCAATACATTTTCAAAATCCTTTACTGGACCATAGCTGACATTAAGCGAATGTACACCAAAATGAGAAAGCTTCTCATTTGCTATCGCATGCATCATCCCAAGGCTGATGTTGATCGTCTGTATGTGCCCAGATCCAAAGGAGGTATAGGATTAGTTCAACTAGAACTGTCTTACAAACTACAACAATCGGCCTTCAAAGTAAGCTGGAAACTACAGATGACTGGATGATGATCTATGTCAAAGAACATGAAAGAAGTAAGGAACTTTATTCAGTAATAAAGGAAGCCAACAAAATCAAAATGGAATTTCAAGTGTGTGAAGAAATGCAAGTAAAACATAATACATATACTGCAGCGACAAAAACCTTAAAAAAAGAAAGCAAAGGCAAATGCAATCGACTAGAAAGCAAGTTAAACCTCTTCGCATCAGTATTCTGCTCGTACCAAATAAGCTGATGGAGACAAACCCCGTGACCATCAGTGGCTACGTAGTGCAGGGTTAAAAGCTGAAACCGAATTCTTGCTAAATAAGACCAATGTTAGCTAACACAAACAGAAAAAATATTCTTGACCAAAATGCAGATTCCGTGATACATATCCAGAAACAATTGACCATCTTGTATCAGGTTGCACGGCATTGGCACCCACTGAATACAAAACCCAGCATTAACAGAGTGTGCCAATATCTGCATTGGAAAATCTGCAACTTTTACGGAAAGGAAACTGTAAGAAATTGGTATGAACACCAACCCGACCCAGTTACAGAGATAGGACTTATAGCAATTTTATGGGACCTTACAATGCACACAGTCAGAACGATGAAAGCTAATCGCCCATACATCGTGATCAATGACCACAAGGAAAAAAGTGCCTTCTTCAATTGGCAGTCCCCACAGACCTAATGTGTCTTTGAAGATCTTCAAAATATATCAAAATACAAGGACCTTGAAATCAAAATCTCAAAAATGTGGCACATGAGGACATCAACAATTCCAGGTGTAGTTAGCGCCATCGAATTGTTTGGAAAAGATTCCAATAGATTCATTGAAGGGTTTCCTGGTAGACCAAAACCTTAAAGAAATACAAAATTCACAAGTACAGCTCAGACCTTACGAAGTAGTTTATCTATGTTAATATGTGTGATCTTAGTTTTTTTTTCTCAAAAATACTCAGTGGAAAATGTCATGATGCCATTTCTGACCTCAGGTCTCTGGCTTGGGACCCGGAAAGAAATGAGTATACAACGAAAATCAAAGGAATACTACTACTACTACCACTACTACTACTACTACTACTACTATTAATAATAATAATAATAATAATACTGATCTTACATTTTAGGGTTCTGTATTATGAGAAATGATCCAAAATGCAAAATCTACTGTTTTTTCCTTCTTTATTTTGTTTAATAAATTTTTAAAAACACTTCCATTAGACTGTAGTACCGGTGTCGGGGTGGGGGGAGGGGGTGATCTACCCTATAAAGTTTGATTATTGTCACGCTTACTGGCGTAGACAAGTCGAACATTTTAGTTTCTGGCCGATTGTGTTCGTGTTTCAATATGTCAGCTTTTTATTTTTTGCGATTTTAATTCTGTTTGTCTTCATTTCAACTTTTTTTCTTTTCATTTTAATTTGAATTTTTATATCCTTATTTTTTTATTATTTTTATTTTTTATTTTAAAACTTTTCCATTTTTCCTGTGGAAGTTTCCGTAACTGATTTACACTTTTGTACACACATACATATACACACATACATACACACACACACACACACACACACACACACACACACACACACACATATATATATATATATATATATATATATATATATATCTGTATGTGTGTGTGAATATCTTCTTGCCGATGTGTGTATCTGTATATCTGTATACACACACACACACACACACACACACACACACACACATATATATATATATATATATATATATATATATATGTCCCGGAAAGGGATATATAATGAACGAAGTAGCTAAGTGGTTTTGTCTACTATAACCAAGTAGAATACGGTAGCAGTAATCGACTGGTACGCGTCGTAGTCGCACGTAAGAAGTGTAGATCAATGGCGTAGTCAAATGTGCGTCGTTATAGACTTAGCTCTCAGACTAAGGCTCTTGACTTTCCTACACGTCCTTCGGTATTTATGACGGACACCAGCCAATCATATTCATACACACACACACACACACACACACACATATATATATATATATATATATATATATATATATATATATATATACCCCCACACACATATATATATATGTATGTACGTGTGTGTGTGTGTGTGTGTGTGTGTGTGTGTGTGTGTGTGTGAGAATGTGTATTATGCGCATGGATAAGAATCCTATTGGCTGGTAACCTATTTTTTCTTTTTTTTTTCTCTCGATAACCCCCAATCTATGTCCACCTGAATTATACTCTGGTCGTGGCCATTGTGGCTTATACAGTGTTATGAAGTTGCGAACGATCCCCTACATACTTCGGCAACCTGTCTATAAAAGTTACTCAATGTGCCGAGCGACTTTAGGTGGGCTTTTGGGCCCGTGCGTCACTCGTGGAACAACATAAGAACTAAAAGTTAAACCAAAAAGGCCAGATGGCTCTTCCACTGGATAAACAGGGAGCCCGACCCTCAGATGTGAACCTACCGGAGGGTGACAAATCTGCTATAGAAAGTAATTCCTACACAAATAATGAATCTTCCTGTACTCAAAACCGGGGTAATCTCAATGATGGCCCTGTGAATTCTCCAACTAGACCCACAAACATACGTGTAAAGAAAGAGACGGTAAAATGGTCTCGTGGGATGTACAAACTCGTTATGACTGAATTCTATGAAGTGTTGGACAAACCTCAGAAAAAATCACTGGCCCACCATGATATTTTTGGCGTGAAAAAGTTGAACAAGCAATTAGAAAGTACATTGACGAAAATAAACTAGCGAATGTAAGAAGGTACATCATGAGAAATAACCGATTCACAGATGCTGAAAAAGAATGAAAGAAATGCAACTAGAATAGGTGAATCCCCAGAACATGAAAGGGCACCAGTAATGGACATAGAATTTACTAACATCAAACAAACCACAGACCATAATGAAGAAACTGATATACACACCAATCACTATGAAGATAATACTGAACGTTTACAATAGTTGGAAAGGCGTGATGATAGTCGCTCCCAAACCTGCAATAAAACGCGTCCAAAACACATTGAACCGAATTATTTTACGGAAAACAAGAAGAGTATATAAGAAGCCAAGGAAGAAATCATGAGACGTATAAGTCAGACAAAAAAAAAATATTGAAATGGAGGAACGAGAATAATTTCCAAAATTACACCCAACAAAGCAGAACCTCAAAACTATTAACCTCTACAATGCAGCACTCAAATTAATTCTGGGTGAAGTAGAGCCACTTATAAGTCTCAAGGAAGCAATATATGCATCAGTAATAGTAGCAACTAAAAAAAATTAAACATCAAAGTTAAAAAGCAGTCTTACAGACATAAATATTCGCCTTGGAAAATAAAAATAGTCTGTAAATCTGGTGAAAATAAACATCAACAGAGGAATATTTCAAAGTGACTCTTTGTTTCCTTTGCCATTATCCCTAATAGCATTAACCAGCGAACTTAACAGAATGTGTATAAGATATCTCAAAAGAAAGTAAGCCATCTATTTTACATAGATGACTTAAAGTTGTGTGCAAGAATGGCAGTGATCTGTAAGGTCTCCTGAACGCAGTAAAATGTTTCAGAGAGGACATTGGAATGGAATTCGGTTTGGATAAATGTGCTAAACGCGCACTTTTACGAGGATCATTACAAAGACCTCCCCTATTAGCTTAGATCCTGGGGGGGGGGTAACAATGATTTAGAGCAAGAAGAAGCTTATAAGTACTTCGGTGTAAATGAAAGTGAAGGAATTCACCATTAGAAATGAAATAGTGCGAAAAGAGTACTATAGAAGGGCACAACTGATATTAAGTACTGAATTGAATTCTCAGAAAAGAATTATGGCCATTAATAGTCTTGCTATCCTAGTGGTTCAATATAGTTTCAACATCTTGAACTGAACTCTAAATGATATCAGACAAATGAACTGTAAGATAAGAAAGCTTTTTTCTAAGCATAACATTGCATTATTCAAAGGCTGATGTAGACTATCTATACATACCCCGTAAAGAATTTGGAAGAGATCTTAACAAGCTAGAATTGTCATAAAAGACAACTATTGGCTCACTAACATACATGGACACAACAAAGGAATGGATGATACAATTAGTCAAACAACACGACGAAAAAAGAAAGAAAAAATATTCAATTATAAAAGAAGGTTCTAAATACAAACGAGATTTACACCTAGTAGATTCTGTAGAAAACCAAAGCATTCCCCAAGAATAAACTGTTGTAGCAAAAATTATGAAAAAGAAAGCCAAGTATAAAGCTCTTGAACAGATGAGACAACATGGTCAATATCCAGAATGTGCTAATAGAGTCGATGTTGATAAAGATAACACTCATCAGTGGTTTTCATCACCTGGATTAAAGCCTGAAACAGAAGGCTTTATTCTTGCAGCGCAGAACCAAAGTCTTTTCACTAGAATCTTTCAGGCAAATATCATACATAATTGTGTGGATCCAAAATGCTCGTTCTGTGACAAATATCAGGAAACCATAAACCATCTAATCTCAGGATCTTCAGTACTTGCGCCAAATAAATATAAAAATCGTCACGGCAGTGTGTGACTAACACTGGACAATGTGCAAACACTTTGGAAATAATAAACACTGGTATGACCATCAGCCAGCACCGTTTACAGAAAGAGAAGATTTCACCATCTTTACAGACAGAAAGATTGAAGGTCGGAAATAATTGTCAAAAAGCAAAAAAAAAAAATGGTATTGCTGGTATTAAAACCTATTTTTAGTGTTTTCATGGTGTTTTGACCCTGGTTTTGAATGGTTAACTCTTTTTCCATAGCCTGGACCCTAACAGGCGCGACAAACCTGGGTCTGGGTGGACCTGGGAACACCAGAAATTAAGAGGTGGTTCCACGGTCCTAAAAACCTACTGATCAGAGTCTCTGCTGTCGACTGTAGTGTGTCTTACCCGCGACGCGGATGTAGTCAAAAATGACCAGCAGAATATTTTATCTGTAGTTGAAGGAGTCCAACTGGGTTCAAATTAATTAGATTTCGGTATAAATAACCCATAGAGATTGATATGCCGCTAAACAAAATCAATCGACCAACCAAACTACACACACACACACACACACACACACACACACACACACATATATATATATATATATATATATACTCATGGAGAACTACCGGGCCCTATTCGTAACATAGTTGTTGACAATACCAATATAATAGCATCATCTAAATGCAAAAAAAAAAAAAAAGGCTAAAAATAATGGAAGCCGTATTAATAAAAAAAAAAACATAATAATATCATCTATAATCAAAGTCACAACATCTTGACAGTGTTTTGAAAATGAAAGCATATAAATGCATACATACAACAAACTATTTCTTGTTAAAAGTTAATATATTTCAAGCTTGAAAATGGCTAAATGTATAGCCGAAAGCGCTTGGATAAAAAGAACAATTGAACAGTTTTTATATAATTTATTATTCGAAAAGAAAGAAAAATATTAGATCATATGAGAAATTGTATAAAAAACTAAATCAAAGCATCCTGTCTGTCGTATTCAGTGCAATGTACATGAAAGAAGGATTGCTGCCTAAATACACAAATATATATATATATATATATAAGAAAAATTTCAAAGCCAAACCTAACATTTGAATTTTCCAGTTATAAACTTAAATTTATTTCGTAGCTGCTCTCTTTCTCTGTCTCTCTCTGTGTCTTTCTTTGTCTCTCTCTCTCTGTCTCTCTCTCTCTCTCTCTCTCTATATATATATATATATATATATATATGGAAAGAGAGAGGGGGAGAGCGATATATTTGAACGCGTTTGACACCATGCATGGCCTCTACGAAATTCTTCGTTCCGATGAGTCTCTTTACGAACATGACTCGAGTTTTGATGTTAATGTTCGGGTTCTGCTAGTTAGAAAGTAAATAATGTCAATGATACATTTGCAATCTATTTAGAGTGGAAACATTTTCAGTGCGTTCTTATAGTAAAATAATTTCCAACTATAATTTTAGCATTTGCAGTCGCAATCTCTTAGTAATTACCAGAGAGAAAGTAGGTTTTTTTTTATTTATTTATTTGTTTAATATGTCCTACTCAGGATATCATAGGTCGCATATATAACTAGTACATATATTAACACACATATCATATTTGTATAATTTTATCTTACCCTGCCCCGGCTTTAAGAAATTCTTTTCCAGTCCTCTTGTCAGCACCCAGCGACTTCATTTTTCACTTCTCTCTGCGAATCGACAAGCCAATTCCAACTGCCATCCTTGGCATTCTCCACGGCAACGTACTGGTAAATAGCCAGGCACACAGGTCACCCGGTCAGACGCTCAGACACTGAGTCTGCGAATAGGCAGAGAATGGAATACCGAAAAGTCTTGGACTGCAGCCGACTGATAGAGAAAACTGCGTACACATGTACGAATCTGTCAACACTTGTCTTGTTGCGGATGTAGGGTCCTTTTTTATTTTCTGTCTGTTACTCACGTGTTTTTGATCGGCTAAGACAAACAACGGTCAGGCGTATGCCCTCTCACTCACTCTCTCTCTCTCTCTCTCTCTCTCTCACACACACACACACACACACATACATATATATATATATATATATATATATATATATATATATAGATATATATGTATGTATATATATTCGAAGGTCGCTCCTAAAGTAATGCTTCCTGATATATTATGTTGACCGATAATATCAGAGAGGAATGTCTGTGATGTGGCAGATGTTGAATCATCTCGTCAGTAAGCCGTATTATTTTTGTCATGTTACGCATAGTGTGACATGAAAATGGCTCAAGATGCAGACGTGCGTCATCGAATGGCTTCACGCGGAAAAATAGTATCCATGTACATTCATCGATGCTTGCTGAACTTTTTACGGAGATCAAACAGTGGATGTGAACGCAGTTAAGCTGTTGGGAATGTGTTTCGGCAGTGCCGACAGTGACCCTTGTAGCAAGTCATTTTCCTTTATGAGGGATTCTTGAACTGGTTCTTTTTTTATAGCTAGCGAAAATGCATCGCTTAATGGTGGTGACTAGCGGAAAAATTCGTGCTATTGCACTCCCTCTATTTTTATGGAAATGCAATAATCGGAAGATATTACTTTCAGAGCACCACTCGAATACATGAGAGGTTGCTGAAAATTCCTCGGTCCAAACAAAATTAATGATACAGAACTATAAGACTATGCTGTACCACGCAATTCGATACACATACCATATTGTTTTTCGAGTTTTATTTTAGCTCTTCCGAAGTGATGGCATCTACCATGAATCCAAAATTTTAAAAAAATCAAGATTTCGAATTAGTAAATGCGAAACTCTTTAAATAATCTCAGTGTATGGATTAATTATAACAAATTAACCAGGAAATAAGGAAATTGAACACAGAATAGGCTCCTCCAGATGGAACGGAAATTGCTACAAAACGAAAACATTAACCAGAAAACTCGAGACATGTTCTTAAATCTGTCAGTTATGTGTGATACACGCTTAGGCAATCATGTGTCTTTCGATCCATGACTCAGAGGGCAGATTTTTTTCCCGCAGTAGGTTGCCATTTCTTTCTACGGTAGACCAGTTGCCATCCAAGGCTATAGAACCCAGTCTGACCTGCTATTTTCCCATAGCTGGAAGAGGATATAAGAAGGGGATTCATATTTTCCCCAGGGGTATTTGCATGAATGTAATGGATTCGACTGGAATTCGAACTCGGCTCTCCGATTCCTCAATCCGAGCCGCTATCCATTACACGGGGCCTCTTTTTTTCTTTCTTAAACAGCCTAGTCGTATCGAGACTTTCAGACGGATGTTATGTATGCCACCAAACCCGTGCAGAAATATTTAAACAGTCGACTGTATCCAACCGCTTTCTCAGATCAATGATTAAAAATGACTTTGAATGAGCAAAGCATATGAGTTTTGACAAAGACCACATTTTTTCGAACTTTGTGGACTGGCGCCACAGAATCACAAGGAACTGTACCGGATAACAGGAACGACGTCACTTCAGGACTTTTAAAAAACAGTAATAAATAAAATGTAACATCTAACTCGAAGAGAAAATAATGACATAATCAAGATGTTAACATTCCACACCACTTCAAACAAAAGGTTAGGAAGGAAAATTCTCATCAATACTGGAAAGAGCAATAACAGCTACTGGACTTGAGAAACTTAATTCCTTGAAAAATTGTTTTGAAGAGAAAGATTTTGTAAATGTCATCCAACAGCAGGATTGGCTGCTTGCTCAATGAATGTCGAATGTTTCCTTATTCGGAAACGGCTGATAATACTGTTTCCATTACTATTAGCGCTGATGCTTTTTCATTGAAATAATGATATGGGAAAGTTGTTCAGGTCAAGAATATTTAATTTTTTTTTTGTTTTATATACCGGGTGTAACCGCAAAATTGTCCAAATTGTGTAACAGAAAAATTGTCCATTTGTTAGATTAAGCTTTAAACCATAGTATGTTTGAAATGATTAATGATATAGTGGAATTCTTCGAGGTTTTTATAACACTATTTTACTCTACTTTGAGCAAGAAAGTAAGAATGTATAATTACTGTCTAAGCTTAGAAGAATCGTGATGAAATCGATCATAAGCGAAAATGACATGTTTATCATTAATTAATCATGGCTAAGGATCAGAAGAACATGAAGGACTGAAATAAAGTTCAGATATATATTTTTTTCCAGGATCATTTTGCAACTTATTCAAGATGATCCTTGCCCTCTCTGACCGTCTAACTTTCTGTCCTAGATGAAAAAGGTGCCTCACAGATTTCACGTACGATTTCATTTTCAAGTTTATTTTCACTGCTCTTTGGACTGTTATAAGTGAAACTCTTCTCTGAAATGCGAAACATCTTAGGGATTGAGTTGGATCTTTTCTAATTGATTTCTTTATCTCTAAATTGAAATGATGATCCCTCTCCCCGTTTTGTCGTCCTGTTCCAGTTTTCCTTTCTTTTTTTAAGGTTCTTCTCCGTTCTCTTGATCGTTCTTAAATGGACTTTGAAGATGGAAGCCAGAGTATGAATTTTGATACCATTACAGAAGGCCTGAATCATCGTTTTCTTCTTACCATTGCTCAGTTGGTCTGGCACAAAACGAATTTAACCTCTTCTCTTTCTAGCTGAATAACTTAAAGGTTTTTCAGTGATTCTTGCGAAAAATGGTATCAAGATGGCTAAACGTCTTGGAAACTTGGTAAAAAAGAAACTCAATTAGTTGATTTATTTTTGTAGATATTAAAACATTTTGGGGTATGAAAGATTATGCTCTTACACCCGGTATATATATATATATATATATATATATATATATATATATATATATATATATATTTGTGTGTGTGTGAGTAAAATGTTATAAGAGTGGGATTATAATTTAATATTTAACGATTAAAATTGAATAAAATAAAGTCGCATTTCGACCGACATTTCATAAGAAGTCGGTATTAAATACTATTGAAGAGATTCTTTTTTTAAAAAAAATAGGACCTTAAAATTGGACAGAAGACAAGAGGGGGGAAAAGAAAAAAAATATTATTGTCATCCAGATCGAGTCAGCGACTCACCAAACAATTCTGTGAATCCTCCTCTGGTTATGTTAGACTATTTTATGTTTTCCTAGTTAATGTGAATAAGTGTTTTCAGGGCCTGTTCCCGGCATTCTCTTTTCTTATGATCCAGGTTGAGTTTCTCAACCTCCCCAGTTTGTTTTTTGGTCCCCACTTTTTTTTTTTTATCTCAGCTGGGTCTGACTTTGTTTTTTCCAGCTCCACTGTTTATTACACTTTCCCCACCCAATTAGTGATTAATTAGGCTTGATTCTGTCTACTGGCAGAATACAGCGGCCACGCTGGTTATTTTGAGGTGTGGACAGGTCTCACTAACATCTGTTTTGTTTTAGTTGTTTTGGTTTCATTTTTGGTTAGTTTATTGGGTTCATTCCCCTCCCCCGTCAATTCATGTTTCATGGAATTTTTATATATTTTTGTATCTAATCATGCTAAAGTTTTATATCATTGGGTGTTTTTTGTAGATCCCCCTGTGAATATGTAGTATTGTGGTACATGTAGGATTGAATGGAGAGAGATGAGTTCTTTTGTCGGTTGGATAATTTGTATTGGGTGAAAGGATCGTGATTTGGATTAACTAGGACTAGTTAGCGACGACCAGCCTTCTCTCCACTTCCCCTTCGGCCATATGCCAAAATTATTGTACTATAAACAATAGTAAATATATTTTGGCTACCGTGTTTGTCGGAGACTGATTTATTTTTCTGACTGCTTACATGCATTGTGATTTGTTAGATAGTACCTGTGAATCAAGTTTTCGGCATTTCTTTCAGCCCCCCCCCGGATGTTCGAGTCTGAACTTACAGTGATTTATTCTCTGCGTTGTGTGAAGTAATCTGCGACAAATATGTCCTTTGCTATCTCAGATCGCTTACAGGAAAACGAAATGAATCACTGCTAACTACTCCAGATGATTTTGTAATTTCTGGCGGGAATAGAAGGCCAATATATATTACAAGCTGCTTCCACAAGATCAGAGGTTGAATTCTAAACTACACTTCCCAACTGGACTGGTTAAATGTAGCAATCGGCGAAAAGCATTCTAGAAATGGCCAATCAGAATGCTGTAGTCCTTCATTATGACAACACCATATATCACTTCTCTTTGCAGTTGTCGCTTAAACCTGTACAGCATGTCTGGTTTGTCCAACGAGACCGGCCTTATTCACCAAACATTGCACCTTCCGATTACCGCTTATTTCGGTCCCTATATGTTTTCCTAGTTAATGTGAATAACTGTTGTTTCCAGCCTATTCCCGGCATTCCCTTTTGTTTTTATATTAATGGGAAGAACTTCAGTTTGTTGAATGTCTTTAAAAATAACTTACACCAGGTCTGGGTGAATAGAATCGCGAAGCTACCCCAAAGATGGCGAAATTAACCCGGACAAAATGGAAAATATGTGGTCGAGTAAATCTCTGTAGAAAATATCTGAATATTGTTTTTGAAATTCACTTAAAAACGTTTCGAACTTTTGTCCCGGCCCTCCACAAACAGAAACTCTCACGCGTACACTATCTATATTTTCTACTAACTCTTTTATTCTTTATCTATCTATCTATCTATCTATCTATCTATCTATCTATCTATCTATCTATCTATCTATCCCCCATCCTACTCTTTCTTTTTTCTATCTATCTTACACTTTTTCTTTCTTTCTTTATCTATCTATATCTACCCCTCCTACTCTTGCCTTTTTCTATCTATCTATCTATCTATCTATCTATCTATCTATATACCTCCTACTCTTTCTTTTTTTCTATCTATCTATCTATCTATCTATCTATCTATCTATATACCTCCTACTCTTTCTTTTTTTCTATCTATCTATCTATCTATCTATCTATCTATCTATCTATCTATCTATCTATCTATCTATCTCTATCCTTCCTACTCTTTCTTTTTTTCTATCTATCTATCTATCTATCTATCTATCTATCTATCTCTACCCCTCCTACTCTTTCTTTTTTTCTATCTATCTATCTATCTATCTATCTATCTATCTATCTATCTATCTAATTCTTCTTTCTTTCTTTCTTTCTCTATCTTTATCTACCCCTTTTACTCTTTCTTTCTTTCTTTCTTTCTTTCTATGTCTTTTATAGAATAGATCATTTTGTATTGGAAAGGAAGAATAGGCATCAGGCAAGTTATAATCTCGATGTTTTGTTAATGAGCGTAGAATGACGACCCAGGAGTTGCGATAAAAAGCAAAGGAAATTACGAAGCAAGAAAAACTAAAGAAATAAAGACATTTAAAGAATATTACTTCTAATTATGATTAATAACATTTAACATTTGATTTACTGCACAATTCTTCCGTGTTTGTATTGCATCATTGGCGCCCAATTATTAGCTGAAATACTGTTTTGGGGATTTGAGATTAGCAGCTATTTCTCTTCTGTCTATTCGAAAAAGTTAAAAGAATGACGTAAAAAGCTGAACCCAATATTTTTCAAACGTCAACGCCAACAGCAGTAAAAATAAGCCCAGATTGATTAAATTAATCGTAAATCAGTTTAAACCAGGAAACGTATTTTTGGTCAGTTCTATAACTTAGCAGGTCATAAGAATTGTCTTGCTGAAGTGTTTGTCCTTCATGGATTCTCAGAAGACAAGTTAGCGTTTTGCCGGCGCTCATTTCCTCTCCCGTTATCGTTTGGTACGTACTATTTGATTATATGGTACCAGCACTAGGGTAGGATCCTTGTTTTTTGTTTTTTAATTATTTCACCCGAAGCAAGGAAATAAAGCCACTGAGACGCAAAGTGGAGGGTTATTGAGTGTGATAGAATATGAGAAAAAGAACACATTATTAAGAGGAGAAGACAGGAGATAACGATTAACATTGCATATAAAGTTTTGAAGATAAAATTTGACTGGAAAGCAAGAAACCGGAAGATAATTTCACCAGCGAGAAGTGCGAGAGAAGAAACTGCTAGAATAGGACTTACGGTTACGTCTAGCTATTTCAACTATAAAATGATGAGATATTTCCACTCATCTAGTACTGACATTGGTTTGATTGAGTATTTTTCTTTCATCCCTCAATGTGGCATGCTAGTAATGAAAACTTTTACAAGATATTTAGATATTAGAAGAAAGCCAAGAGGAATGGGTTTATATTTTACAGAGGGACATTTGTGAGAAGAGAATACAGATAGCCATGTCAGCGTCCTTTCCGCGTTGATCACCGCTATAACATCTTACATTTTCGTAAGTATATTATGTATCAATATCGATCATCAATCTAAGGAAGGATAGAACAAAATCGGCAAACTCCAAATTAGAATAATAATAATAATAATAAAATAAATAAAATCGAAATCTGACATAATTATCTATCTATCTATCTATCTATCTATCTATCTCACATTTTTTATCTATCTTTTTATCTATCTATCTATCTATCTATCTATCTATCTATCTATCTATCTATCTATCTCACATTTTTCATCTATCTATCTTAATTATTATCTATCTATCTATCTATCTCACATTTTTATCTATCTATCTAACACATTTTTATCTATCTATCTATCTAGCTATCCTACTCACATTTTTATCTATCTATCTTACATTTTTAATCTATCTATCTATCTATCTATCTATCTATCTATCTATTTATCTATCCTACTCACATTTTTTATCTATCTATCTATCTATCTATCTATCTATCTATCTATCTATCTATCTCACCCTCTCTTTTTATTTCTCTTTTCTCTATCTGTAAAATTGTTTCGTCACTTCAGCACGTAACTAACGAAGGCTCTTCCTAGTTTATTTTTCTTTAATATATTTAACTCACGACCATAACACGTTGAAACACTGGTTCTCGTACAACCAGTGAAGTTAAGCAACATCAATCTTGGCCAGTAACTAAATGGGTAACAGCTTGAGAATAACAGCTGTAACCTTGCCGGTGGTGCAATAGATAACGGCATGGAATTAGGAAATCGAAGAGCCAGGTGAGTTCGTTATATTCAATTACTTGCCAATATCCCTGGTAAAAAACTGAATCCGCCTCTTCTCCTCTAGCTGTGGGTTAATTATTCGAGTGTATCCGTAAACCATCATTATACCTCCAAAATGCTTTCAATCTAAAATATTTCTTGGCTTTAAATAACACGCAATAATTTGATAAGCCGTAAAAAAGCGAACAAATCAATTGATGTAAACAATTGCAATGATAGTTCTTTTTTGTACTAAAGTTCACCTATGAAGGGCTATTTATGGTAAAAGGTATGAAGAAATGAGGTGTGTGCCATGTAAGAGAAGGCAGTAGTATTTTAAAATTATGATGATAAGGAGGATAGATAACCACTGTGTTCATACATATATATATATATATATATATATATATATATATATATATATATATATATATATATATATAAATATAAAAGTGATATATATATATATATATATATATATATATATATATATAAAATATGAAAGTGAACATAGAAGTCAACACTTAGGGCGACAGTCTGTTTCATGCTAGATGCAATCATCAAGTGGCCTGACGATTACATCTAGCATATAACAGACTGTCGCCTCTAAGTGTTGACTTCTATGTTCACTTTTATATTTACACACGCTCTATCTCTGATATTGAGCACTTTATTCCATAAATATAACACATCTTAAGACTAAATTTCTTCATATATATATATATTTCACATATAGTGCTGGTGTTAATAAAAGTGTGCTCGATGTAATACAGCAGAGCTATTAAATATATATTAATAAATGTACATATCCCTCACCGGCAGTACGACTCAGAGTTTCATGCAAAACGCAAAATTCAGGTGCTGCATATAGACTGACCGTTACGTAATTTAAATTTTAATAAAAATATCTGGTTACTGCAGTGTTAGAGCTGTCATATATTAGACGGAGATTACATTTTTTATTTAAAATAATACGAGAAATACTGAGTTATTCCGGTAACGATGTTAAATTTTATTTTGATTCCACTGAAAATCCTTGGAAATTTCGGTTCCAGCATCATCGAATGACTTTAGACAATATAACATACACTGCTCTCTCCAAAAATTTCTGGATATTAAAGAATGGTTATAATTTACCCATTATTATATGGCAATCTTACAACGGAAAATGCGATAGGTGTAATTTATGCCTTGATGAAAAAATAGTTATTTTAAAACGCGTAAATAAGCTAATCTTATTAAACAAGAAAAATGAATTGGTGGTTACATATTGGCATGGATCAAATATTTGCTGAAATAGGTTGATCCAGATTAATTTTGAATGTAAATTATGTTTTTTTTTTATTTTAATTTTAAGAACCAGTAATCCCTCTTTATGAGGACTATAAAAACATATTATAAAACCACATCTACCGGCCTGAATATTCGAGAAATCTTTTTAGAAAAATATAAATCCTCCGGAGAGATTTTGAACCCTCATGGATACCCATATTGGATAAACAATACTGTTTGATTAAAAGAAAGGTTCTACTCGAAGATGAGTATTCATTGAAAATAAAATTTAAACAAAATAAATTAAGAATAACAAAAATATATACATTTCTTCAATATATATATATATATATATATATATATATATATATATATATATATATATATGTGTGTGTGTGTGTGTGTGTGTGTGTGTGTGTGTGTGCAAATATATATAAAAAAATAGGAAAGAACTCGTTAGGTAAATAATCCGAAGTTCTTTAGTATTTTTGTTTTTATTTTTAAAAAACAGTGCTCGATACAAAAGTAGAACTTAAATATAATTATTTATTTAAAAATATGATTCCTTGGCTACATAAGAGTTCTCATGCTTCAAAAACAAGGGCCAAAAACTTCAAAATAATTATCAAAATTAAATTGAATTAAAGTATCAAGCTCTGTTTCATCTTCAAGCGAAAATTTTAGAATAACTAATCTTGAAATTTAGTTAATTTTAATTTAATTTCAAGATTAGTTATTCCAAAAATTTCGCTTGAAGATGTAACAGAACTTCATACTTGGATTCAATTTAATTTTAAGAATTATTTTGAAGTTTTTAGCTCGTTTTTTGAAACATGAGAACTCTTATGTAGCGAAGGAATCATATTTTAAAAAAATAATTATATATATATATGAATAAATACAAAAAAAAACTTACCTTAGGCGACGCGTTTTGTCCTTTGATGGACGTTATCAAGACTTATGCGTCTGACTTGTCGGTAACGATGTTTTCCTTTTGTGTTTATTGATATTGTCTTTTTACAGATATACTCTATCTGATATTTTTACACATACACACACACACGAATATATATATATATATATATATATATATATATATATATAAAGAATCATTTATATATTATATATGTGTGTCTGAGGAGGTGCGGAAAAGTTCTTCGCACGACAGCGAAAAGAACTTTTAAATAAATTTGGTCATTTGGTTGGCCTTTGAGGAGATGTATTCGGTAATTTTGAAATTTTGCAGATCAACATCCAGATGTGCTTATATCTTTTTGCGGCGTGGGTGAAAATCTGTGTGTATCCCAGGACACAGGCAATTGTCCACTTTGAAACATTCACTTATGCAAGTTGTTCTGTTAAACATTTCTGAATCTTCATCTGTTGTTCTCGACGGTAAAATCTATCTATCTATCTATCTATCTATCTATCTATCTATCTATCTCATATGTTGTCATTCTATCTTATTATGTGTCAATCAATATGTTTCAATCTATTTCATTGTTTCAATCTAATTATGTTTCTATCTCATACATTTCAATCTATCTATCTATCTATCTCAATATATTTCAGTCTATCTTTCTATCTCATTATATTTCAGTCTATCTATCTATCTATCTCATTATATTTCAGTCTATCTATCTATCTATCTCTCTATCTATCTATCTCAATATATTTCAGTCTATCTATCTATCTATCTATAGCGATTTTCCAAGCGTAGCTTAGATGTGGCACAAGGCCGAATGTATGGGGCACCTAGTGAGGATCGAACACACTACTCATTCGTAATTGTGCTAGCGAGACAAGCTTGCTAACCATTACACCGCCTCGAGGTGCCATCTATCTATCTATCTATCTATCTATCTATCTATCTATCTATCTATCTATCTATCTCATTATATTTCATCTATCTATTTCAGTCTATCTATCTATCTATCTATCTATCTATCTATCTATCTATCTATCTATCTATCTCATGTGAGTGGGTGGGATTTTTTGGCAACAGTCCACCTGGATGAATTCACGAGTTTCTCTTCCAAATTTTTCTCTGCTTTTGCGATATGAGTGACGGCCTTGAACGCTCATCATCTTTAACTCTCGACAGACCTTGAAACGCGCGTCCCACACAAAATCATTTGCTTGAAATAATGTAACATCAACATCAGCTAATCAGCTACTTTGCAGAAAATGATCGACATAATTGGTCAATAGGAAATGTGCTAATACATATACACGTATAACATGCTGACAACACTGACGCTACAATTGAGCAAATAAAATTATTAAATAAATATAAATGTTTTCCCGATTAAGCATTTCGAAGGTTTCGGTAGCAGACTAGTAGAGCTTCATGAAAAAATTATGTAGGTACATTGCTTGGATTTTGTCAGTCGTCGTAAAAATTGCATGCCCGTAATGACAATTTAAAAAAAAAGGATGTTTAATAACGGATCATGACATAGGTAATTCCGCTGGTAAAGTTTAGGGAAAAAAATAGAGGCGAATAGGTAGTAATTTCGTATCAACTACATTTGAATCCCGTAAACATCGGTAATACTTCAGCCTATCGTATGATTGCCTCCATCTTGAATTTACTACCGTCGCGATTAATTGTAGGCAGTTTCTAAAGCTCGGAACGAAGGAAATAAACGTTGATATATTTTTGCAGGTTATTTAAAGCCAGAAAACATATTTTAGATTCTGAGAATTTAATTTATCTCTATTTATAAAAGGCAGGATGTGTGTGTGTGTGTGTGTGTGTGTGTGTGTGTGTGTGTGTGTGTGTGTGTGTGTTGTGTGTGTAACGAATGCATGGCCGCAATTTTCGACGGATTTGCACCAATTTGCACCAAAGTTTACATGCACATGCTACAAGTTAGCGGGAAGGCCAAGACCGACTTTGCATTTCCCAATTCCCATCGATAGTGGGAATAATCGATTTTTTTATGCTTCTACGACAGTTTTCATGTAGTTTGCGGCCATTTTCTACTGGCCTGAGTGAGAGCCTATAGCTGGCTGCCACGAATAGGCAAGAAGATTCTATTGGCCAGCGTGAGAGCCAACAGCGAATGTTAACTAGCATGCTAGCATGCAAAAAAAAATAAAATCGATAGCTGCATTCGTCACAAGTGGGAAAAATTAAATCTGCATGGTACTTTACTCCAATTGGCTCATTCGCTTGCTTAAACTCAACGTTGATTCTGATTCCGCAGAACTGGGTTGGGTGTGAAAAAGTATTTGTTGTTAACATTTTTTTTCATTCGGTTTTTCCAGTTACGAGTCCTTTTTTAAAGCTGATCGTTTTGTGTTCATTTTGTTTAGTTCTTTTTTCGTAACAGATTTAATGTTTAGTATAGAGCTTAGAAAAAATTCGCAGTGTGAGACATGTAGCAACATCAGCACGGCAAAGGGCACTCCTTTAAAGGCAAGGAAGGGCAAAAATATTTTAAGTCAAGTGATAGCGATTGCTGTATGAGTCGTACGATTTTTGAATCAAGCACGGGCAACGCCGGGCCATGCTGCTAGTAGTTAATCATGGTTTAGTGATAAAAGTCTTACTAATTAACCCATAGCTTGTTAGGGAAGGTGTGGATTATTAAGGGTATTTGCGCGTAAGTGAGTTTAACAAACCCTACTAGAATTCGAAGTCTGCTCTTCGGTTAACAATTCCGAACCATTATCCATTACACCACCCGCGCATCCAAGCTTACAACACCTGGTATCTTAAAGCGGTCACTCATCTAGATACTGACAACGCTTGAGGTTGCTTAACTTTGGTGATCGTACGGGAACCGGTGTCTCAACATGATATGGCCGTAAGCCCTGATTTAGTAACTTAAAACTACATAACACGAGGAAGCGAGTTGCGAATGCCGACTAATACAGTCATTTTATGCTCGAGTGTACGCATGGTTTACTATTGTTCACTAACAAGGCTCGAAAGCCACTCCAGGTAGAGGGTTATTAATTAAGCTTGTTAAGCGTACGGAGACGGAGGGAGCAAGAAAGCCACTCCATGTAGAGAATTACTAATTAAGCTTGTTAAGCATACGGATACGGAGGGAGCAAGAGAGCCACTCCAGGTAGAGGGTTACTAATTAAGCTTGTTAAGCGTACGTAGACGAAGTGAGCCAGAAAGCCACTCCAGGTAGACTAATTAATCTTGTTGTAAATGCGCATAGAGACGGAGGGAGCAAGACGTGTATATTACGAGGAAATGTAGGATAGATAACGCTTGACCTCAGATATGAGCGGTTACGATTATACTGATCGAGAAAGCATCCCCTCGTAAATATGTCCGTTGATAGGGAGGGTCTCTATAACTGTTCCAGGAATAAATCTTTGAAAATAATACGTTAACAGTAAGCTTGTGAGCTTGTTTCGTACCAAGATGGATGGCCGTTTGGGAACTCCAGGAATACCATCTGTACATCCAAGCTTAAGGCTTGGATGAATTGGTGGCTCGGAATTAGAAATATCACTTCGTCGAGTGACCGCTGGGAAATAACAGGCGCTGCAACGAACGCGGCAGGTGTAGCAAACCAGCGATGGACACAATCTAGCGACTTAAACTAACAGAAGACCCTCGATATTTGCAGGGGATACCGGATTGACGTTTTGGGTATGACACTGTACTACATCCGCCAGCAAGATCTCGGATCGGAAGGTTCTGAGGGGCGTAGAACCACCTCTCAGTTGCTGTTATTCCCAGGTCTACCCTGGCTCGGGGTGGTAGCACTTGCTAGGCTTCCAAATATGGGCAAATTGTTAACCTCCAAACTAGGGTAAAAACACTATAAAAGTATAAAAATACATTTTATAGTAAAAATACCAATTTAATGATTAGCTACTTCAATAACTAAATGCGCAAGGTTTCGGGAACATTTTATAGCACATGGAATACTAGTGGTGAAGAAGAGCACATGCCCGAATAAGGGATCAAATGATTTGCAATGCAAAGATAATATTTATTAAAACAAAATTAACGAAAGCAAATTTAGAACAAGAGTTTCTTTTGTTAGACGTAAATTGTATACACAACGAAATGTTCATTAATATGTTATAGTTGAAACTTACCTCCTTAGTGTGTTTTATGGGAAAGCATTCGCAGCCCTTGTAGCTTCGGCGTGGAAAGTTCATGTCAGCAATTCGAAAGAAGTAAACCCGGAAGAAGAGAGGGAGTTACTTAGGGTTTATGTGTTATTATATTCGACAGCTGCTGCTGCTAAGTTTTATTTAGAGCTGCTACTACTACTATCTTTAAGTTAAGGCTGCTACTGCTACTATCTTTTATGTAACTACACCACTACCAGCAATGCATTTTCATAGTAAAAGAATTACCAGACATATTTTTTTGTAAAAGAAAAAAATATTACAAGCAATACGCATTTGAAAAAAATTACCGTCAATATATTTTTGTAAATAAAAAATAAACAAAATACATTTTTGAAAGCCCCCACGCAAAAAAAAAAAAAAAATCAGCAATACATAAAAAATAATAATAATGTCATCGATATATTTTTGAAAAAATAAAAAAAATATTTCCAGCAATGCATTTTCATTTAAAAAACAAAAATTACCGGCAATATATTAAAATAAAATTTCGCTATTATATTACCAAGAAGGAGTTGATATGTCGTTAAACAAACAAGATGTCTCTTCCTAGATTTTTCAGAATCTGTCCACCCCTTTCGATGTATTCTCCCAAAAAAGCAATATATTTCCGAGATATTGACGATATTCTGCAAATACATATGTATGACACTACTACTACCATAATATATATATATATATATATATATATATATATATATATATATATATATATATATATATATATATATATATATATAAGCGCTTATTTGTATTCAAAGTGATTTTAGGGTGTAACGGAAATGGATAGATTTTCTTAAGTTTCTGGGTGGAGTTTGAACGTTTTTTTTTTGTAAAAATGACAAGCTGACAGGTGAAGACGCGGTTCATGAAAAAAAAAAAAAAAAAAAAAAAACTCAACCAGTCACACACCGGCGCATGATGACGCGACACAATAAATAAATAAAAGACAGCAACAATGAAAAAAGGGGGGAGATTTATACTTCGAGACCCTTCTTTATGTATTACTAAAACATTCTTTGATAAAGGTTGATGAAAGCTGAAAGCTCTCAGATTCCCATCCAAACTTTGCCAGCAAAATAGAAAAAAAAAAAAAAATGATCCGAATGCATAAAATAAAAACACCGAAACAAATAACATTCGTTGGTCTTTAACGATAGACAAATAAATGTGTATTTGATATCCGAATACACACACACACACACAT